ATGCTAACAGCTCTAAAACTATGCTCGTCCTTTAGGTTTTACTTTCAGAAAGCTACAGTTATATACGGTTACAGTATGTAACAGTCTTGAGCTACCGGGCTTTTCTTTATATATAGGGACCACACTTTCTTGTAAATGTGAAGTCTTGTCCTTTTACTTGTACCTTATTTGGTAAGCCACTTAAAACTGACCTATGAATCATTCAAGCATAAAAAGGCATCTACCTCAAGGGATGGATCAGTGTTTTGCCTACACATAATAGCAAACTGCAAAAAATGCCAAAGATAACACAGTTTGACAGGAATAAAACATTTATTTTTAAACCAACAGGGTGATTCCCAGGCAGGTATTAGTCTAAAACTTGGCATATCTCAGCATGATGTGCAGTGTTCTTACAATTTTGAGGAAACAGTACAGGCCGAAGACAAAAGAAGATGTGTAAGCCCTACAAAAGTATCTATGGTGAACGGTATCTGAAAGTCCTTAACCCTTGGAGGGTCCTTAAAAAATAGGGAAAATTCCAGCAAAGATGTGATACAGAACCTGAGAGATGGATCTGCTCCTTCACTTGATCCATCTACTGTTTGGAAATTGTCTCGGTGGAAAGGTGGCTGCCAACAAGCCGTTCTTAAGGAAGGGAAGCAGAGGGGAAAGGTTGATGTATGCCAAATTACACAAGAACAGGAGTGAAAATCAGTGGAAACAGGTTTGATGGAGTGATTAATCCAAATTTAAAATGTATGGTTCAATTCATTTTCAGTATGTACGGAGGAAGTCAGAAGAGAGGTACAACAGTGAGTGTCTATAGCACGGTGGAACCGCAGTCATGGTTGGGGCTCCATTTCAGCCAGTGGTGTTGGAGATCTTGTCAAAATTGTTGAAATTATAAACACAGAAAAATCAGATTTCGTTCCACCATACAATACCATCTGGAAAGAGTCTAATTGACAAAGGCTAATCCCAAACACACTGCCCATGCAGTGCGAGCATATTATTGTTAGCTATATTTGTATGACAGTATTAGCACAACAGGGGCAAACTGGCTAAAAAGTCCACTCGTGACAACTATGCCCGCTCTTATGACACCGTTTAAGATGAAGGCCAGATTTAATGATTTGCTACAAGCTTAACTACACTTTAATGCTCAGCTGAGGTTTATTCTTTCCTAGTTGTAAAACAGTCTAAGCACATGGTCACTTTACTGGGCCTTTTGAAGATTACACACAATCTTCATCATTAGTTTCCATCAAGTGATTAAAAAAAAAGCATCTAGAGGGAAAAAATTATGTTTGATGACAGTTCTTTACATCTCTACAAACTCTTCAGATCAAGAGTATGAGACTAGATTAAAGCGTCCTTCAGCTACAGCCTAATGATGGCGATACCGTGGGCGTGGGTTGTGGTTTGAGCATTTGGATCCAGGGGGCAGATTTAAGCACCGGACACATCATTTCCTGCATTTTGGTGATTTTTTTTAAATGCACCAGCTCACATCTTCATTTATTTAAATCTGACAGGCAAGAAGAAGGATAGGCAGCATTATCTGAAGATTCATTAGCATGCTGAAAACTTACACATAACTCTGCTTTCAGAGCTCCTTCTTTTTTCCTGACTGATAACACAACACTCTGTGTGTGTGTGTGTGTGTGTGTGTGTGTGTGTGTGTGTGTGTGTGTGTGTGTGTGTCACCAGTGAAGTTCCAGTAGTTGTCTTGAAGTCAGACTTTAAATTCAGATTCCTTTTGGGATCAAAAAGAAGCCCTCCCTGCAGAAGAAGAAGAAGAAGAAGAAAACAATTGCTCCTTGCTGGGTAATGTTCTTCTTCTCCCTTGTATTTGCCGCGTGTCTGCATTCCTTGAGCATCTGTTCTGTTATGGATCGAAAAGAATGTATTGGAAGGATCCCCAAGGTTAACTTACATAAACCATTTGCTCCCCACTGTTTGATGCTATTAATTATGCATCGTAAGTATGAATATAAATCTGAGTCGTTTTTATCATTTGCATTTTTTTATTCTCATGATAGAAGAAAAAAACACACAAAAAAGCTGGAAGATAAGCGTGCAAGACATCTCAAGAATTTGCCGCATTCATGTAAATTTTATTTGGAAGCCAAAGTAAAAAAAACAAACAGCTACATGTGTCTGACATAAATCCCTGAGTGCACACGAAGCTCTGTGTGCACATGCCTGTTTTGTTACGCACACACACACAGAGTGAGCCGAGCTGGACAGACTCCATAATTCACGAGTAGTTCACAGGAGACAGTCTGGCTTTGTGGAGATGTTCTGTCATCCCTTCTTGTCAACTTAACACTGCTGTCCCACAGAGCTCGTTTCCATCCCCTCCTCCTCCTCCTCCATCCTCGGCTCTTCATGTCTTCACTCCATGCTCTGTAAAATATATATTTTCTCCCCTGAGTCTGAGAGCTGATTTCTCATCTGCGAGGGGATAGGAATCCTCTCCAGAGCGGCAATTCTTTACTCCACCTGCAACAAGTGAAGCACGAACAATCCAAATCCAGCCAGCGATTCTAAAGACTTTGCCTGCCAGTTCATCATGTCAGAGCGGGGAGGGAGGGCGAGAGGTTGCTCTGAAACAACACCTGAAGGTATCACGCGGATGAACTTGGCACGACTCCACGAGCCTTTTTTTGCAAGTCAAAGACATACAACTAGAACCGCTGCAGATTAAAAGCAAAATGGGTTTGGCACACTCTGCAATCGCCATCAGTCTTATGCGGGCTTGTCAGGATATTTCAAAATAAGAGGAAGAATGAGCGCCGCGATTATATTGGATTTTTCCTGCCCGTTAATGGGTTGAAATTCCTCCCCGCACTGTGTACTTTAAGATACCGTGGAGAATTCAAGGACTGTAGCAAAGCTGAATTCAAAAGCAGATTTGTAAATTTTCGTCCAAAACTCTCTCAGTCTCTTGGGAGCCTCTTAGAAAACACACACACACACACACACACACCACAAACAAACAACAAGCAATCTGCAGCCGATGAAGGATGTCAAAAACAAGAAGAGAAATTAAAAAGAGAAGCAGCAGCAGTTAAATTCTGCACTGCCACATTTCATTATTTATATCCTCCTCTCATCATGACTCCAGTGATGCTGCCGGAAGCGACAGTGTCCTTTGTCGTCGTCGTTGTCGTTTTCTTAGTTTGAATATAACTAGTTAAAAAAGGCTGTCTGTCACTGGTTTCTGTAGTGGAAGCTGACCCGAGCCTGCTGGGAACTGAACTGTAGTTAATTAGTACACAAAGCCTGAGGGACAAAGAAAGTTTAAGGGAGCTGAGGGCGGATTGGAAGTGGTGGATGAGGATTTGGGATGGGGGAGTCTTAAGTGTGTGGCACAGAGGGACTTATTGGGGGGGGGATGCTTTGTGTGTGTGGGTGTGTTCCTGTGTGGGGTACAGCAGGGGTGGGTGGAGGCGGAGGGATGAAGCAGAGGGAGCTGAGGCGCACAGACGGATGAATTGGCATCGTGAAGGGGAGCCTTGTCCCTAAGCTGAGAGCTTCTGCGAGCCAGCACACACACACACACACTCTCTCCCTGCTGGAGCCCGTCAAGAAACAAAAGGCCGGGTGGGTCTGGTGGGAAAGGACCTAAAAGGAGAGACTGCAAGACAGAGACTGCAAAAGGTCAAAGTATGGCATGAACTAATGAGGGCAGGCAGTTTGTCACGACGCCGCTTTGCTCTGGAGATGACACTTTGATGAGCGGTAAACTGTATCGTCTTTCTGAAAGCCTCACAGGGAAACAATTATATGTCCCAGCAGTATTTCCCAAGAGGCCTCAGTAACTCTCCCTGCACAGCCCCACTTTTATAGTAGGATTGATCAATTGATGCATTAGGTAAAGATGAACTGGGCTGATGGGACCAAGTAAAACTGTCTCATGCAGCTCAAATCACTTCTGGTTATTATTGCAGTGTATCAGCCTCAAAGGCTGCTCAATAACCCACGAGAGGCGCTCTCTATCCATTGTTATCAAAGCTCATATTGACGTCCTCCAACCAGTACGACCACAGTCCACTTAATGCCACAATTGATCGCCACTTAACGGCAATGAGCGGGGAGTCCGGGCTGGTATTACCTGCTGCCAGCGCGGACAAACACTTTGGGCCAGTGGCTGCTGGCAAACCAGCTTCCTCCTCCTCCTCCATCTCCTCCCACCTCCTCCCTCCAACCCGCCAGCTGCGTTAAACCACACGAAAACGTCCAGGTGAAAAACGGAAATGTGTTTTGCCTTCAAAATAAAAGGCCCCATAGGTAAAACGCCAGTAAAGCAGGAGCTAACGCTGATCTAGCCTGTGCAGTGGTTAATTTAGCTGATGTCACTTATTAATGTTTATACCGAGAATAAAAATAATTAAACAACAACAACAACAAAAAAGCGGCCCCCTTATTTACAAAAAGGATGTCCACAATACAGAAATGGATCAGCATATTTAATTTAACATAAATTTTACATTAGATACAACCCCTCCCACTTACCCAAGCTTTACTGGGAGTACTGTGTCCACTGAGGTCGGGTTCATCCCTCCTTTCAGTCTTGAACCGGTGACAGTGATATATAAGGAAACTGTAATAAGTACTAGACCACGGAGGAATAGAAGTGGCTTAAATAAATAAAGTTTTGTGAACACAGGTTGTTGTAACTACATGATATAAAATAAACTACAAATTCAAGAATTTCTATTAGTAATAACACACCACATCACAGCTTTTGCTGCTTCTTTGACAATAATAACAATAACAAAAATAATAATTTATTTTGTGCTATTCATTTATTATTTCTTGTAGAGTGTAGTATTTTAATTATTTATCCTGCTGCTGCTGCTGCTTTGGGATTAATAAGGTATCTATCTATCTATTTATCGATTCATCGATTTTTATGTCCATCCAGTGGTCTTTAAAGACATGCTCTTGTTTTGAAAGTGCCTACCGGAAGCTGAGGGTTCACGGAGTCTGCCTTGACGCCACCTCCAGCTCCCAGCCCCCCTCTGTGTGTGTGTCTGTGCCCCTGTGTTGCCATTCCGACGCACATCTCTCGTAGAGGAGCAACAGCCGCACGGAGTTGGTCAGAGCGGACTTCACAGATTCCTCTGCGGGCGGAGAGCGCTTCACACTCCGGGCTTCCACCCTCTTCTCCCGCGGGGGGCAGCAGCACAGAGATGCGCCCCTGGACCGAGGCTCCGTGTCGGTAAAGTCAGAGAATGAGACTGAGAAAAGGGCGCAGCGTAGCGGTCCTGTAAGCACCGCATCCACAACTACACTCCGGGGAGGATCTGGGGAGCTGGGTGAATGCAAACATACAGACGCGCTCGGCTACCTCTTGTTCTTTTGAGGATTTGGGTTGAATGGGGCGGCGAGAGCCCTCATCACAACTGAAGACATGAGAATGTGGAGGGGAACAAAAAGCTCGGCTGCGGTGCTCCGTGGTTGAGTCTCCATCCATCCATCCATCCACTCCAGGTCTACACACCTTTATTCATGTTGCAAAAGCCTGGTTTATGACAATGGATTACTTGCTGTGGGTGTGCAGCCTCGTTGTCCCTGTGGTCCTGGCTGTAGAAGGTAGGTCGTTTGATATTTTTCATCACTACTTTTTTGCTCCCCGCGGATGAACAATGGGCTGTTTGTAGGCGCTATAAACTGACAGCGAACCATGTTATTGTCAGGCAGAGGGATACAAAAATCAAAAACATACAATTACACACACTGTGCCTCCTTTTCATGACAGTGTGAATCACGCTGAGGTCAGTTTGAACACCACATCAGTGATGCACGCTGTCTACACCGGAGAGATTACATGCAACACGGCATCCGTGTGTTCCGTAATTACGGCTGTAAATATAAGGCGGGCTCCTGGGCTGAGCGTCAGTCTGCAATTCATGCACACATGCATCAGAACGCCCCAGTCCGTGTGTGTGTGTGTGTGTGTGTGTGTGTGTGTGTGTGTGTGTGTGTGTGTGTGTGTGATTACTCCCCTGTGTTTCCATTGCGGCTGAAGGACTGCCCTGTTGCTATTGTCCTTGTTGTCACACCCACGAGCCCGGTGAGGATGCCCACCTGCCCCACCTTTCTTCCCCCCCACAGCTCCACAGAGGTTAGAGACGGACTCCACGGAGGAGAAAAAGAAAGGGCTCCTCCTGTGATGCGTGCGAGAGGTGCAGACATGCTGTGGGTCCTGTTAAGCGGGGCTGCTTTAACAAGTCCCGGTGTGGCTCAATCTCTGGCCCCCGGACAATGCCGCTGGGACGCTCATGTGAAACGTTTTCAGATGACAAGTGTGAGTTAAAGGTCAGCGGCTTAACAAGTGCGCTGCGAGCCCAACCCGGAGCCCCACCTCCCCCGGGGGGAGAAGCACACCATCGCCCACATCCCTTGCTCCCTCGCCCGTGGGCTCCTCTCTCCGAGCTGTAGCTACATTTCTCTGCTCTGCCTCGCCTCCCTCTCTCCCCTCCCCGTCCAATCTGCCTCTCCTGGACCGTGGCCAGCCCCTGATCCCTCATCAATTCTGGTGTCAGCAAGTAAATCAATGCAGCGGCAGCAGCACTCTCCGAGTCCCAGTGGGCTGTGACGCCAAAGGTGATCAGCCCCGCTTTCCCCCCTCAGCCCGACCACTAAGTGTTACTCAAAGCACGGGGGTTAACTAATGTTTGTCCTCTGAGGGTAAACATGAAGGGCAGATCATCACTCGGGTTTAAATGAGAAGTCGTGGTGATGATGGTGTGGGCGGGATTACATGTGCCTTGAACAGTGGGGTCTCTTGTTGTTGTTGGATCCACCTTGGCAACTTGAAAGTGTGCGCTTTAATTGCCAAAGTGATCAGGATGACTTATCTCCGGTTCGCGCCAGCAGATTGCAGTAAAAGCCTGGGCCAGCTGTGACGTTTTTACGTTCTAATGCTCTCATTTACAGTCGGCGTTTACTGTACTCTTTTTAAAAAAACTCGTAAACGAGATGGATGAGCGCTCAGAAAGCGTTTTACAAACGCGCCCTGCAAGACTGCGGTGCAAAACGCTCGAAGGGAGGACGGGGGGGGGATTTTCATATTAAAAGCGAGCCTCATTCACATTTGTTTTTCCTTCCCTACTTCCTACACACACGAATGTCAACAAGAATCGTTATTTGTTGACCTGTAAAAGCAGCTGCGCGTGTTTAAATTAGGTCAGCAGCACAAAAAGGTGCTCATCATCAGGCGTCAAACTGAGCGTCGCACTCAGCTGTGAGCCTGTAGAGAGAGAGAGAGAGAGAGAGAGAGAGGTGCACTGTGAGTGAAGTTATTATTATTAACACCTGCAGCATTTACAGATCTTCACGGCGACGACGACGATGATGATGTTTTGGGCTTTTAATATTTCATGTGTTTGCTCGTCGGCAGTGTCTTGTGTAGTACAAGGGGGGGGTGGGGGGGGTCTCTTTCATGATGCGGCCGCTCTTACAAAGTGAATAAAACATCAGCGTGTGTGAGCTCCCAGAGCGCAGAGCTGTGTGGCATTTTGGCGATTATAAAAAATACAAAAAAAGGGAGAAAGAAAGAGCCTCAAATGCCACGGGGGTGGTGATGCTCTAAAGTTCCCACTGCAGAGCATTGTTTTTTTTTTACCCCTGGGGGCAGAACGACTCCACTGCTGCTGTAGTTTTATGGGAGAGGTGGTGGTAACGGTGGTGGAGGGGAAGAGATTTCTGGATTTGAGTTATAGCAGTTAGGGGATCTCAGAGGCATTGTAAATTTAACGGGAGAAGGGGTGGGGTGAGGAGGGGGAAGAGGTGTGGAACAAATGGGATCTTTTTCAGCGGGTTTCTGGGAGTCAGTGGTTTGATGATGATGATGATGAGGAGGAGGAGGAGGAGGACGTTGACACACTCCGGTGAGGAACGAAAACCGTGTTCACGCTGCAGTTTTAGTGTTTCGAGCAGCACGTGAGCCCAGACTGCACAGGAGTCCACGTCTTTAAGATCTCGGTAGACATATTGTCTTCCTTCTGCTCCACATGGAGGTCAAAGGTCCACCCACTCCCCTCTTAACACCCCCCCACATCAGCTGGGTGCAGTCCTTGCCTTCACAGAGGGGGCTTTTACAGATATGAGCTGGTCACCTTGCTGCCCCTGCTTGTTGCGCCGTGTGAGGTGAAGCCTGTTTTAAAGAGGCATGAGCTCGAGGCTGTGGTTAGCTGAGGCTGAGCGGATCTGTCTCCTGTTGCCTCTGGGTACAGGGGATAGAGGGAAGGGGAGGTGTGGGGGGTGGATCAGACACTCTGGAGACGGGCCTGCATCCACGGATCAGCAGCGAGCCGTCCAGTGCTCACTTGGCTGTGCGCCGCGAGGGCCCGCGTGTAGCCAAGCAAAGACAACAGGCGCTGATTTCACTGATTAGTCCCTCCTCTCTCTGGCTCGAGTCGTGCTAATCAGTAAAACAACCTTGTACACGAACGTGCATTCGGGCTCGACAAGTGAAGTTATTAACCGCTGTCGCTCATGCCCTTTCGCACGTAAAGCTCAGAAAACTGAGAATGCATTTGCCCTCTGCGCAAATGTTACCTATTAATTATCATGCCCAGGTAAATGGGATTTCTGTTGTCAACACGCAGACACACAAAAATGGAAGCAGCCACTTATTCCTCCTTAAATTAAATGATTTTTTCTTTATTGCAGAACCACTCATATGCTTATTCCAACCGAGCAGCCTACTTTTCATTTCTGAATGTACTGTACATTAAATAAATTCTGCTTAAGCACAAATCCCACACTTAAATGTGGCCTATTATGCTAATTTCCCGCACTTTGTTTTTTATTCTTGGACTGGGTTGGAGTACCTCCTAGCTTTAAAAAATCCTAATTTTCCTCTTTCTGGGTCTTGGTCCAGCTCCTTATTTTCTCTGTCTGAAACAACGTGCCAGCATGCCTCTGATTGGCTGCCTCTGGTATACAGAAGGTTTAATAACAAGGGGGTGGGGCTTCAGTGCTAACCATATTAGGGATATTCCTTCTTGCTGACATCACACAGAGCCAAGAACCAAAAAAAGCTATCTAAAAGTGATTGGTTCCTATAGCTCAGAGGGATTTCCTGCACATGCTCACCTCACTGAACTTTGGCCGTGCTTAATGTGAGCATCTACCACTGTAACAGAATATAAAATTTAAAAAGGGTGTAAAGGAAAACATTTTAGTTCTTCTTCAGCTAATGCACGACGCACGACTCCTCTTGCTCTCCATTATTTCAAAATTATCAAGTCATTATGAGTTTATGTGATTAGTGAATGCCTAATTAACCATCGTTTAGCAACAGCTAATGCACAGTTACGTCTTACATGTACACGGCTAGATTAGCTGGATCCCAGTCAGAAAGGGAAAAGCTGCTCCCATAAGTGTCTAAAATGCTGCTACGTGTCCCGAGGATCACAGATGGCGACTGATCAATCAGGGAGCATAAACTCATTACATAAACTCTTAGTGGCTGGATCCGATCACACGGGTGACCTACAGGAAATCGTGATGCATGTTTGCACTGAATCATCATGAATCATGCTTTAGATCAAACTGAGACACAGCATACCCACCCCAGTTTCAAGCTTTATGTTAAACTTGCGTGCTTCATCTTCACTGACTTTTTGCAGTCTCAAGCATTTTATTAGTGAAGCCTTATAGGATTTAACTCTCAGTTTATCGCTGCACATCAAGCGGCTGTTATCATTTACACACACATCCAACGTTACCTAGCATAAAAACGCCACATCGGGATGTCTGTTTGCTTCCCTTTAACCACGATGTGAACGTAACTGTATGAAAGACAGATCAGTGCAGGGGGGGCAAGGGGGGGCAAGTGTCCCCCTGCTGTGGAGCCTTCTATTAGTCCTGTACAGTGATTTAAGTTGTTTTCTGTATTTATTTATTTATGTATTTATACTGGAGAACCTTTTTGCGTCTCATTTATTGTCTCTTTGTTTTCTTAGAAGAGATAATGATACAAAAGTAGTTTTAAAGCGTTTTTTGTTGGCTTCATTAACATATAGGGGATTTTCAAATACCTTTTTAAAGAGAAATGTGCCACCCTGCCTAAACCCCCACCCCCAGGTAAAATTTCCTATATCCACCAATCACTGTGTGTCTTTCATTCTGCCGTTAGAATGAAAACTAGTGTAATCTTGCATCTCCACTGGCACACTATTGACCACCACTGAAAAGTAATCTATCCCCGTGCATGTATAGATCTATGTCCATTATCTCCCATGCTCTGAAAAAAAAGAAGAAGAAGAAGAAGAAAAGCCGCTGTGGTTTTGCCTGAATAACACACATCGCTCATATCAGCAGCCACAGATGGACGACTGATTTAGACACCCAAATGCAACTTATTTTAGTTAGTGACACTCAAAAGCCAAGGACACACTGTGGTGTAACCACTGTCTTCAGCGGGCTCCACCGGAACAAAGCCACCAAGTGCTACTGTTGCTCCACACAGGACACGCTATTTGTTTTAGCCTCTCACACCCTTCTCCGGCGCTGTTATCAACAACTTGTGAGCAAATGGTGCACAGCGGGAGTTGTGTCATTGAGTCTCCGCGAAGAAAAGTGTAATTGTTTCAGTAATTAGCAGCAGAGGAACAATGGGAGCCTGCACGGCCACACAGCTGCAAGAGTGAGTGAGGTATCAGATGAACTCAGCAGATCACCCCCACTCAGGTAAACGTGTGATTGACAGCCAGACGACAGAGCTCATTGATCCTGCTGTTTATTCTCAACTTCTCCTCCCCATCCCCCCCCCCCCTAAAAGATTGTCGACTTGGCTCTCACGTCTTCGCAAAGTTGTAAACAGCCAGGTGACGTAAGCATCTGCTCACCTGAGAGAGGTCACAGTTTTTTGTGTTTTTGCCTCAGAGAACAATATATTCCTGCTCATGTGACCCCCCCCCCCCTTCAATTCCCCTGGGATATTTCCCCTCTGAATAAAACCCTGAACAGGCTTTGTTCTTTTAGTCCACAAGTGAATATTTGAAAGAAGTGCATCTGTGGGTGCCAAATGCAGAGAAAGCCTTAATTAGGCAGCAGCACAGATATGCCACGATTGTCAGAGCTTTCAAAAAACTGAACGCATGTGGGTGGAGGTTATGGAGCGAGGGGTGTGTGTGTCGTTTTTACCTGCATCCGTTTCTGGAGAACAGAGAACTGTGTGTGTGTGTGTGGTCTTTAAAGTGTTGCAACACTTTTTGTTTTTTTTTATCCTTCTTCACACCATTTAATTCCCAGTTTGTGAACCTTACTCCTACTCTTAATTTGCAGAAACCCTTATGGACAGTCGGTGGGCTACCACAGAGCTGGCTTGGACCACATTCCCAGAGAGTGGGGTGAGTTTGCGCATGTGTTTAGCTTAGTTGTGTTTTTTTCTCCTCGCTCTTTAACAGCATTTGTTCCATTTGCTTGTTAATAGAGCCCAGTCTGCCTTGAACAGCACACCTCCTGCTGCTTTATGGCTTTGTTTTTGCAGTGTATGTTTGCTTTCTCGGATTCTATAAAGCAAATGAGAAGCACACTGTGAGACATTGTGCGGAGGATATCAAAGATTTTCAGACCACGTGAAAAGATCAGCAAAGGAATATCTCTTTTGTGCTTTTTGTGCATATTGCACTTTAAACATACTAATGAGCAAGCGCACACAAACAGGAGTCAAATCCCCGCCACGTTTAAGGACTATTAGCTAGACTTTACCTTGAATGTCTCCCTAGGATAGAGTAGCCTGATAACTGAAAGCATGTGTCTTTTATAATGTGGGCCCAAGAGCGTATTACAGACAGAAATTAAGGTTTTCAGCTGATACCCCCTATAGGAATTGTGAGAAAATAAAACAACATGAATTTGACCCCAGGGCTAACAGCCTGACAGACCTCCCCCACACTCGGCCAGTGTAATTTGTCTTCGCTACATGAGCGCAAAGTCAGTCAATGGAAATGGTGGGTTTCCATGGAAACGATCTCCGGCAGCCCCGGCTCCCTTCTTCCCCCCCCCACCAAACAAGGGCCGGCTCTGAAATGTCCCAGCATCCATGAAGTCATATGTCACGACTGGCGAGGCAGCCCCTCTCCTCACGCCTGACAAGCCCATACGTTCAAGGAGGCCCGGCAATTATCATATTTGTCAGGTAGTGCATCAGCGGGGTTGCCGGTGATTTACGACGCCTAATGCTGACTCTTGGGCTCATCGTTTGGGGATAAATTGCACGCGGGGAGCTCAGAGACGTGAGATGAGTTATGCATTATTTTCCTCCGGTTGAAATAATCAATTTCTGGAACGCTCATTTGTTATGGAAACGAAGCATTCAGTCCGACGTGGAATTAGAGGGTGGGGCGGCGGTGGTGGGGAATCAAAACAATTGACTTCTCACAAGGTTATTTCCTAATGGACTAAATTTATTGACCCACCGATACATTTATCATAGCTGCTAATGTTAGTTACCATATAGAGACGCAACTGTTAACAACACATAAAGCCATAGATGGTGCCCGTGTCACACCGGGCCCCTAAATCACTATTTCTACAGCAAGACATCAGACTCGCAGGGACACAAACCAAAGCAGATGCAAATATGTGCTCCTGTATTGTGTGTGTAGGCATAAGAGGACATATATAAGAGTCCATGTAACCTGAAATGCTCCAGAGTGCTGCCATAGTGCAATCACACTGAAAGCATTGCATTTAGATGGCCGTTTTAATAAATAACTCACTGTTTGCATTATACATATATGGAGGAGAGGAGGTGGTGGTGGTGGGGGGGGGGTTACAGAAACCGAGTCTTCCTTCGGGGCTGTTTCGATTGCAGCGCAACAGACATCGATGCGAGCGCTGCCTTCTATAGGTGTGTCTGCACCTTGTTTAATAGCTACTGAAGTTGAGCTTTGACGGAGCCCCGCAAGTGACTGATTTGCTGATGATGATCTGAGCTGCGACACACGATCGGTATCAGAACTCGTCAAACAGCCATAATGTGTGAAATTTGTTTTAATGCGAAAATGTTTTCTATTGAAAGTCCATAATAATTAGAATTTTCTGAATGATTCATGCAATTAGAAGCTTTTTAGCTGCAAATTATTCTGCACAGGCCACGTGTACGCGCACACGCACGTCGTGGGAACGTGTGTTGGTGTGCACGTGTTGTATATTCGTGCAACCATGTTTATGCCAGACATCACTTAGCTGTTTTCAACATTCTCTATGGGTGAACAGTTTGCATTAGGATGCACTGCATTTAACACTATTTAATATTAATTATCAGCGTATTAAAAATTGAGCTTCTGCCGCAGCTCGGTCGGTGCTGAGCGAGAAATGGAACTGTTTTTGCGTTGAGAGAAAGCATTAGATAATCACGGGGATTTTTTCTCCTCATTTAATTCTTAAAGCCGTTCCGCTCCTTTCTGCACAGTATTTACAGTCATTACCTCCCCTCATCGCAGTGTCTCCGTGTTGTCTCCACAGTGGGAGGAGGTCAGCGGATACGATGACTCCATGAGCCCAATCAGAACCTACCAGGTGTGCAATGTCAAACAGCCCAGCCAGAACAACTGGCTGAGGACGGACTATATACCCCGCAAGGGCGTGCTTCGCGTCTACGTGGAGCTCAAGTTCTCCGTCCGCGATTGTGCAAGCATCCCCAACATCCCAGGCTCCTGCAAAGAGACCTTTAATCTGTTTTACTATGAGTCAGATGGGGACATGGCCACGGACACCAGCCCTCTGTGGAGGGAGAACCCCTACGTGAAGGTGGATACTATTGCCCCAGATGAGAGTTTCTCTCTGCTGGAAGCGGGAAGGATCAACACCAAAGTGCGCAGCTTTGGCCCCCTCTCCAAGGCAGGCTTCTACCTGGCCTTCCAGGACCTGGGAGCCTGCATGTCTCTAATCTCAGTCAGGGTTTTCTTCAAGAAGTGCTCCACCACCATTGCCAACTTTGCCGTCTTCCCCGAGACCGCTACGGGAGCAGAAGCCACCTCCTTGGTGATTGCCCCGGGGGCCTGCGTGAACAACGCCATGGAGCTGTCCGTGCCGCTGAAGCTGTACTGCAACGGGGACGGCGAGTGGATGGTTCCCGTGGGCTCGTGCACCTGCAACGCCGGCTTTGAACCTTCCGCAGACAGCACTCAGTGCCAGGGTACGTGTATTTAACAGACATTTCGACTTTTATTTAACCAAAGCTCCTTTATATGCTCGGCGCAAGTCACCTCAGTCTGTGCCCTCTTCCCTGCATTTATTGTGTGGCTCCTGAAAGAGGGGGTGGGTGAAGGAGGGTGGAGGAGAGTATGAATTAATGAGCTGTTGTAGAGAGGAGCCGCATACAAATATTGTGCGGGCAGGACAGGAGGGAGAGAAAGATAGCGGGAAGGCACAGAAACAGAAAGGCAAGGAAAATGCGCATAATAGAGGCGGAGAGATATTAACAGAGAAAAGGGAGATAGCACGATGTACAGTAAAAAGGGTTGAATGTGCCCAAAACAAGAAAACGGGACAGAAAATGAAAAGGGAGGGAAGGTGCAGGGAAGTCAAAGACAGACAAGCAAGGCTTCCTCTCACCTGGGTGTGAGAAATGTTGTCTAACATTGGCTGAGAGCTCATTCGTTGCCATTTGGCTGCTCAAGGTTAAAAGCTTGCCGCCAGCGCCTGATAAAAAGCTCTCCAGGGCCTCAGCCAGCGGTTGTGATGAGGAAGTGTAATTTCCTCCGCGGCCTCCTGTTAGTTAATCTACAGGCGGCCACACTCATTAACACCATTCAGACCAACGTGAGCCAACACTGCCACGCTAACATTAATCACTCAGACATTTCATTTCTTACCTCAGTCTTGCCTCTCGCTCACAGCCAAACACAGGATGAGATGGAGAGGAGGAGGAGGCGAAGAAGAGAAAAGAAGAGGGGGATGAGGCACAATAAGAGCGGGGAGAGGGAAACATTAAGTGTATCAAAAACTGGAAAATCATGGTGCCCTCCAAAGAGGTTAATGGATTGGAGAAAAGAGCGCCGGGTGATTCAGCACCCTCTCGAAAAGGAGTGGGGGAAAACAAACAAATAAGAGAAGATGACAATGCAGCCCTTAACACGAAAAAGAATAAATCAGATCACAGACTGTAGAGCCTTAAGGTCTCTTCGGATTGTGAAAGTGTAAAAAAACACACATTTTCGTCTCGTCTTTGGCTTTTTATTGCACAGCGCCGTTGCGGTGTCATTAGCTGCGCTGATTTTTCCTAAAAGTGTCATTGTTGGGGAATTAGGGTGGAACTTGAGTTCAAAACGAGAGACCACTTAACCCAACTAGTTAATCACAGACTCTCCCTCCTGTCGGAGCCCTCATGCTGACACGACAGATGTTTGCCAGAGACCGCCACTTTTACAGCACCGGTTAGGAATGTGGCAAACAGTAAAACAAGGGGGGCTGATATATCCGGACCTTTTGCTGCTAATCCCCTTTATCTGAATCCTTCTTTAGTCTCGGCTTATGCTGGTTTTATCCTTAAGACTTGATATCACGCAACCTTCAGCGTGATGCTCTGGAATTCAAACGAATCGCTTTGGACACATCGTGTGAGATAACCGTACTTTTCGTATGCTTTCCTAATAACTCCGCTCGGCTAATTCGCGTCTGCTCTGATCATTCGGATTGATTTATTGGCTTATTACGGAGCCGTTCCACACGCGCGTGGAGGCCTTGTTTGTATTCCGCGGCGCGGATTCGGAGAACCGAGGACTGAGCAGACACTGATTGATGGGTTTGGGGTGTATCCCTTTTCTCAGAAGCATTCTCCATCCCTGTTTGTCTGACAACAGCAATCTCCTGTCAGCAGTCGGTCTTCATCTTTATCCTCCTTTTTCCTCCTCTTCAACATGAAACTTTGCTGTCATCCCGACTCTCTTTTTAGGGAGATTAATGTCACCTAGCTGAGAGAGTGAAAATGAAAGAGCAGATGCAAATGTATAGATAAGCCCTCGTGCTTAAGTGTTCGTCATTTCTCACGTACGTATCAGCGCTTCCTCCATAAATATTGAGCTTTGCTGCTACTTCACAGGTACTTTGTTCTCTGACAGATGTGACAGCCCCTGGTCTTGTAGATAAGTGACAGCCCAGCATGGTTTTTTTGTTTTTTTTTTGTTCCTTTATTTACTTATTTAGATAGATCTATATATATTTTTTTGCTTTTGTTCTTATTGTCCTTTTCATTTTTCTCGCCCACTCATCCAGCGTGCATCCCCGGGACCTTCAAATCCAAATTCGGAGAGGGATTTTGCGCTCCCTGCCCAGCCAACAGTCGCACCAGTGCACGAGGAGCCAGTATCTGTCCGTGCCAGAATGGCTTCTACCGCGCTGACAGTGACCCCCCTGACTCCGCCTGCACCAGTAAGTCACTCTCCGCTGCACAGACTGGAAAAATAGTCTGAATTTGGAATATCTTTGGTGCTCGTTGTGACTTGTTTGTAGGGGCTTCATTTTAATCTGTTCATACCAAAAAGAGAAGTAGTGATTGTGCCCAATACACTAGTGCTCCCTGTGGGGTGTAAATCTTTCACTCTGATGAAAGTGTCACTTCATCGGAACAATGTATGTAAATAGGCTTAAAACCAGCTTGGGGGAAGATGCTTGGATGTTGCCGTTTTCGCTGCTGTGTGCTTCTGCACACTCTGTCACTTTTTAGATTGATGCTGCTTGAAATGATTACATTTTTGGGTTCTGTTTTAGCAGAACGGCACACGAAACTGCACAGCTTGTCTGCACACTTCAGTGTCGATTTGTCATGATTGTAGGAGTGGACTATGTTAACATGTTTTTTTCTCAAATCACGTGATTGTGTTTGGTTTTAGTTGGTGGTTATCACCACAGCAGAAAGAGAAATGGTGAAGCCAGTTAAAGGTTTTGCCAGTTTCCTGCAGCCAAACCTGATCAAGCTGCAGGTTGTTTGCAGACAACTCGGGGTCTCCCATGATAACCACTTCCGGTTGCAGCACTGGTTTCACTTAGCAGCAGCCAGCAACCTCCAGCAAACACTTTGACAACCTGTCGGGTTGCATTTTTCCTTAACCGAACCGCCTCTATCACCCAGTGCTAGGGCTTGTTCTGCCTTCACGACAAATCCCAGTGCTGGGTTTCAAACATGATTACATCAAGAGACCCGGTTACAGCGCAACACCCTGCTTTGTGACAAGATTTTTAAAAATCTGAGAAACATATTCTTTGTTTTTTAAATCTTCCACTGGCATGGAAAGAGGACTTTAATTGCTGCTGAATTGCAGTGTGTTCAGATTTCTCGTGACGCAGGAGTTGTCCACTGTGCTGTGCGCGATACAACCACCAGTCAGGAGAAGAAAAACGTATATTTACTGACCGATAGTGAAGTGGTTCCTGGATGCTGCTGGCGTCGATGAGTAAAATTGCAAGTTGCAAACATTGATGCTGCACCAAAAACCTCCTTATGCTTGCTGAAGTCAGTCACCAGCAGCTCGCTCCTAGTTTACATGGAAGGCATTGAAAAGTTCAGTGTTAACCAGAAACAGAAGAACGTTCATCATCATCAAAGTAAAAGTTGTGCTCAGCGTTGCAGCTGAGGCCTTTTAAAAGGTGCAACTTTTACTTTGAAGGTAAACAGCTTCTGTTTCACGTTGCATTTGTCACCGTTTTAAATGCTGCTTTGGAAATAGGAGACAAGTTGGCGTCCTCTATGCAAACTAAAGGTGACTGCAGCAGTCTGCTAGTGACCAAAGCATTCGCCTAGAGGTTTTCGCCAGCTGCTTGAGGAAGACATTTTTCCTAGTGATCAATGGTTCAGGGGGTCATTGAACAGTCTCTAATCCCGTGTGACTGAGACGTTATCAGTTTCACAGCGCCTTCCAGCAACCATTCGCCAAGATGGTTGCTGGTTTAATAGGAATGTTAGACTGGGTTTTTCACATGTCTTAAATGGCAGATGATTTATCGCATGGTTAGCAGTCATGTGACCACAAAGTCTTCATAGTTGGAGTGGGAACATAAGGGCGGAGCCATTGGGGGAAACACAAATGGAACAAGAGCTGGGTTACTTTTGGGGCTCTTCTTTATGCACCAGGCAAGCAATATGTATTCAAGTTAGTGGGGACGATCTTTATTCAGTTCTCCCTCAATAAAATTGAAATAGTAACAGGACCAACTCACTTTCTGAGTGGAAAGTAGCAGCAGGTGGGCCTACCTTGGTAGGGATGTAGTAGAATAGTAAAGCAACATAATGTTACGTGCTGAAATTATGAAAAAAGAATGTGTCAACAACGTACAGGTCGATAAAAAGCTCCACTTGGTAACGCGTCAGTAAAATCGTCAGGGCTCTCAAATGTCAAACATTTTCTCTTTCTAGGCTCTGAAGCCGAATACACAATGCTCAAAACTCAGTTTGACATTAAAATGGCAAACACGCGTCTGTCAGCGTTTCAAATTTAACGGTAGTTTGGTGGTAAGTAATCGGGTCTGGTGCTGACCGCGGTGTCGGTGCCCGTTCTGCATGGAAGGGCCTCGGAGAGGAGCCGCAGCCCCAGTCGTGCTAATGGAGAGCGACATGTGCTGCCTTGACCGTGTAAAGTCAGGCCCCAGGGGCCTTTCGCTACGTTAAGTGACACACACGGCTCGCAACTGTCTCCCCCAGATCCTCGTCACAGGAACACTGTGGACTCTGACACCGACCAGTGTGTGCAGACAGGCGGGCAGGGACACAAACACCGCCTTCGACTAAACATGCAAACACACACAAACACACAGGCCTGACAGTTCTGTCCCTGCGGTCTGTCAGGGCTTGTGCCAGGCAGCCTGCGCTTTGTGTTGGAAGCTGTGTGCGTTGCACAAGAGAGGCTCAGCCAGTCAATGGCCGGCAGCTTGGACTCAGCGTGTGTTTTAGATGGGTGTCCAATTAAAAGAGCCTCCACTCTGAACTGTGCCTGCCTAATTAGAAAGGACAGGGTGAGTGAAACCCAGCTCAGGGCGAGCTGGCTGAGCTGAAGTCCGTGAACAGGCGGTTTCAGAGCTGATAGCTTGAGAGAGCCCCCCCCCCCCTTCGCTCTCTTTCTGCTGTGAGACAGGTTAGACTTTCTTCTGCTGGAAGCTTAGAGGCAGAGAGCTTCTCTTCTCTCCCTGTAACAGGATGAAAAGCACGTCTGTTGAACCAATCTGTGTTGCCTCCCTCCTAGTTTATCATACTTTATCCAGGTTTTAAAGGCTCTTGACTCAAAAACGTAGCACTGCTTATTGAATTGCGGTGGCCTTGGGTCATACTGGCACGAGAACATGAATTTCTATCAAGAGTAGATTAGCTAAGTTCCATAAGCACCGAGAGTGTGGTTATACATAGGAATGGACTACAGGGCTGCTGGTTTTCTGTTTGTGTTCTCTTAACATGTTGTCTGTTTCAGTACACTTAGCAGCACATCTTCTTCCTGAGATATTAAAGGATTTTTACACCACTGGGGAGGATAATGCCAGCATTGCATCGGGAGCATGACTAAAGCCTCACTGTGTGTTTTTATTCTCTGCCTGCCCACCTGTTTTAACACCTACGTGCGCGTCTGTGTTTGTGCAGCGATCCCCTCGGCGCCTCGCAACGTCATATCCAGCGTGAACGAGACCTCTCTGTCCTTGGAGTGGGAGGAGCCCGAGGACACGGGTGGGCGGAGTGACCTCGTCTATAACGTCGTGTGCAAGAAATGCCTCCGAGACCGGAGCCCGTGCACGCGCTGCGATGACAACGTGGACATCGCTCCACGCCGGCTGGGGCTGAGGCAGAGGAAGGTGGTGGTGAGGAACCTGCAGGCTCACACCCGCTACAGCTTCGAGGTGCAAGCTGTCAACGGGGTTTCCGGGAAAAACACAACCCCACCCAGATACTCCATAGTCAACATCACCACCAACCAAGCCGGTTAGTAGAACATCTGTCAGTGACACTGGATGTTTCCACAAGTTCATTCATAGAGTAGCTCCAATCAATACCACTTAGCATCACGATGAAACAGGCTGGTTAGTGAATCCCACGTTCAGTCAATGTCTATGAGTGTCTTAATGAGCTTTTAGGATACAGAGCGGTGCTAACACCAAGAGTAAACATTGCTGAACAAGCTCATTGAAAGCGACAGATGGACAGACTGAGCAGGAGCTCAGCCTTTCTGAGGGTGTTACAGGAAAAGGCAGATAAAATGTAAAATGTACACTATATCGCCAGCGTCAGCATTCAGCCCACTGTCAACCAGGCGTCTTACGTTACATCACTGCCAATGTCACCTTTCAGCATCTCCACTTAATATTTGCAGTGTCATCATCAACCAAACTGCTGAGCGCTTTTCACACGCTGTAATTACTTTCCCAGTTAACCTGCGCTTAATCCACCTTAATGCAGTTTATGGGCCCAGGACAATGGCTGTCAGTTGAGTCTTCTTCAGGCCTCACAAATCAATAAACTGCAGAGCGGTGAAGGTGAATCGCGTCCCACTGTTCTTTAACCGTTCAGGTTGAAGAATTTTGAATAATAATTATCTTACTTGGATGGTTTGTGACTTCAGAAGAGGAAAAATCTTGGCAACTTACTGTGAGGACCCGCCAACTTGGATATGAACACACTTTCCAGTACCAGTGTAATAATATACTGTTCTCTCTGATGTCCACCCACAGCACCTTCAGCAGTGCCAACTGTCCATCTAATGCGCTCCACCTCAGACACGCTCAGCCTGTCGTGGCTGCCCCCGGAGAAACCCAATGGAGTCATCCTGGACTATGAGATTAAATACCACGAGAGGGTAAGCTCTGCCTTTATAGCTGCTGCCTTATGTAGGTCATAGTGGGTGTCTTATTTACTCTGACCAAGATTATATTTTGGACACTGGTGTAATGCTGCGATGGAGGTGGACGTTTATATTATAAGCGTTTATGCAAACTCAGCAACTGGTTGTGGAGATGCTGCATCGCTTGCATTGATCAAATTCCCTAGGGCCATTTTATAAACTCGGATGGCTAAACATCCGAGTATACTGCCACCCCTATATTAAAAGAATAAAGCTCTGCAATGGCTCTGCTAAGTCCAGCGTTTGGTACCAGGCCCATTATTTTTTAAAGCTTTACAGGCAAAAACACCACGGAGCGTTTCTAAGCCTGACAGGGAGAATTTCATGAATATTTCACAGCAGCATCATCTCTCTGTCGTTTAAACCTCCATCTCTGCAATTGTCATGCAAATGTTAGAATTACTCCATTCATGTACACAAAGTGATTTGCATGCATTTGATTAGCTTTGCTGGATGACTTCACATTCAATTGTGGGAAAAGTTGAGGCAGGTCCAATATTTTTCTGGACGGCTCTGAATGTAGAAATGATTGAGCTTCAGAACTTTAATATGCATAGGAATAAATCTTTAGTTAAAAAAAGGATCCAGTAGGTGCTAGGAGTGTTAGCCATAGTTAGCATATTACTTAGTCAGCCGCTGTGCATCAATAAACTAAATCTGTGATTTAAAAGTGTCATTTCTAAAGTGCAGCTTTTGTTTTTTTTCTGTGCTTATGCTGAACACTGCCTTCGCCCTTCAGTTAGAGTAAATACTAAACTGTATTGCAACAGAAGCTCAGTTAGAGCTGTGAACTTCATCTGTGGCGTTTGCTAGCAATAGCTAGTTTGCTAATAGTAGCACCATTAGCCACAGTAGCAGGTTTTTTTGGTTAAACTGGAAAATTTCAAACAATGAATTAAAGATGTGTGCTGCCTGTTATTTTTTGTTCAGCAAGATAATCTGTATAAATGAACACACCTTTTATTATTTTTTTAAGCAAAAATTGAATTAGTTAATGTTATAAACATACTACCACTAATCTCCTGTGTTAAAACATTTCGAGTTTCACTTGTTGGTAGATGTTTACTCTCAGACGTGTCATGGGTGTAGCACCGTGATGTTACTTGTTTGTCTTGTGCTCCACTACAGGTTACAGAATACATGCCCCAGAATGTATTTTGTAACGTATTCCGTTACGTTCCTCAATGAAAGTAACGTATTCTGAATACTTTGGATTACTTTATATATTATCAAACTTTTTACAACTACATGAATGTACTATTGCTGTGTGATTTATTACTATTACTGAAGGTTACTTGCCATACCAATACCAACTAGATTTTTAAATCGTGATATAAAATGAGTAACAGTAGGGTGGACATTAGGTAAGGCTGCACTTTTTGCTGCGATCTTGTATTGAAAACTATTCCACGCGTATATAAAAAAGGTCCGCGGCTCCGAACCGTAGTAAAGGCACCTCTGGCTAATACTTCGGATTCCGTGTCGGGCTCGTAGCCGAGAAATAGCTTTACTTTGTTGTCCGGATATACTTTCTAGCAAGAGAGAGGCGTTGCAAGGCTGCTCCAACGGAATTTATTGTTTCGCAGAAAAACACGAACACAGTGTACATTCGAGTCTTAATAGCTTACTTACAACTGGGTTACACTGCCCATGAGGCTACATTCTTTAGGGCTATGCCTGTAACACTCTGCCTATTGCCTTCATGTTAAATAATTTTTTGAACAATAATTTTTAAAAATATATTTTTTAACATCATTATGCGGGCTGCAAGTAGAGGTGACGTGTGCTGCGAGATTGAGACCCAGGCATTAGAGCCTCTGCGTGTTTTGTTTGGGTTTTCACCGGCGTGAAATGACCAGAAATAGAGAGAGGGGACAAAAATAGAGAGAGGACAGCCTAACATATGAAACAAGAAAAGACCGCAGTTTAATCCATTTACTTCAACAAAGTAACTGTATTCTGAATACCACCTTTTTAAACGGTAACTGTAACGGAATACAGTTACTCATATTTTGTATTTTAAATGCTTTATGCCAGTACATGTATTCCGTTGTTGGGGTAGTAGTGTATTACTCATGACTCATTACATTTCTTAAAAGTAATGCTTTGTGCTATCTAATTACTTGTTGGAGAAAGTAATTTGTTACACTACTTAAACCTGCTACATTAATCCATGTAATAACTTAAAATGCATTATCACATAATTACCACATAAACCCGAGGCTACACCTCCATACAGCAACACAAATCCCCATCCTAATGAAGAGACATTAACTTTCTATTAGTTTTTATGCATGAACAAGAAACTAACACCACAAAGCAAAGTTGAAACCTAACCCTAAGAGGCTTTAAAGGGATCTCCACAATTGCTACTTTAGAATTATCTATAAGGAGATATCAAGGCTAGAGTGCTGGAAACCCGACTGCTCATCACCGCCTTTGTTACCTGTTGAAGTTCAGGGTCTGGCTGCTGGGCTGTGATCAGCACTTACTCAGCTTTAACATCATTATGGGTTCTTGGCTAGCTTTGTGTTAGCTTACTCTCTGTGCACACACTTCCAAGGAGTCGATGTTGTGTTAGCGTTTGTTGCTGTCTGGGTTACAGTTTGCATTTCACCATCACGATGTTGTCGCTTCATGCAATAAAAAATTTAATTAAAAAATTAATGCCCATACAGGGAGTGCAGAATTATTAGGCAAGTTGTATTTTTGAGGAATAATGTTATTATTGAACAACAACCATGTTCTCAATGAACCCAAAAAACTCATTAATATCAAAGCTGAATGTTTTT